CAGTCTGTGATTGTCCAGGCACGTGCCTCCCCCTCTGTCAGTCTGATAAAAGTGCAGCATGCTGATGGGCTTAGGCTTTGATTTGGTGATTGCTTGAACACTGATTACCAATGACCTGCATGTCCGCTGGCAGAGTGGACTCTGTTAAATCAGAAATTACATGTGGTCTCCTAAATGCCAGACCATGGACCCTTTGCACCAGACAGGCAGAGTGGGGCCCACATGACTATCTATCAAGCAATGAAACATGTGACATTAACTAGAAACAGGACCTCATCAGTAAGTTTGCCTGAGGAAGTTTATGGCATTTAACTCCTAAACATTAATTTTATTGTGGTGTATGAGAAACTAATTAACTGAGAGTTTCCTTTTTATTCGAAGTGGAAATACTGTTCAGAAAACTGATGAAGGGTAAATACAACATATTTTAAGTTTATTAAGCTTGGCTCATCAGCTTCTATTTATTTAAGCTAATCTCAGAAGGCAATTAGATATTTCAGTCAAGCTATGGCTATTTTATTTAGCACATCTCTGAAAAATTAATCAATGTGTTAAAATGCACAGAGAATGTGAATGCAACTCTAGTTTCACTGAGCCAAACAGTGACTAAATACAGCTTCTAGAAAGTCACGTGATCTTTTCCAACATGAGCTCCAAGAAGCAGAGCATTGGGAAATGACAAGAGAATGCATTAAAAACTTGGTTATGATAAAGAACCAGTCAAAGTTAAGGTTGTCTCACACCATGGGGCTGGAGGATGGCTCAGTGGCTAAGAGCACTGGCTGCTCTTGCAGAGGACCCGGGTTCAGTGCCCAGTACCTAGTCTAGGAGGCTCATGACCTGCACCTCCAGTTCCAGGGGTTTTGATTCCTTCTTCTGCCTAATGGGGGCACCCACATACATGTCATACATCCAGACACCACACATACACAGAAAGACTTTTGTAAAAAGTTGTGTCAAGTTAAAGAAACATTTCCATCAGCCTTGAACCACTGCTTCCGTAAATTCTTTTCTTTCCCACGGTCACAAGAAGCCTCATATAGGTGACTCTAGACAGAGGCAATCATAGATTTTGGGACTGTTTTTCTAATTCTTTTTTTTTTTCTTTCGGACAGGTACAGGATCTGTATTTTTGTGACATTACTTTATCTCAGAATTTGTCACTTATAAGTAACCTAATAAGGTAGACACCAGGCTGGGTGCTGTTTAGTATATAATTGAATTTATCCTCTGTGACAGTTCAGTGAAATGAACTTTCTTCATTTTTAAATGAAGAAACAAGAGTCTTGTGTTGGTGTTTTATTTTTTATTTAACAATTAGAGTGACCTAGGAAGAAGGAACCTCGACTAAAGAATTTCTCAGATCAGATTAGTCTGTAGACATGTCTGTTGGGTATGTTCTTGATTGCTAGTGGAAGTGTGAGAGCCCAGCTCACTCCGGGTGGTGCCATCCTTAGGCAGGAGGGCCTGGGCTGTATAAGAAAACTAGCTGAGCAGACCAAGGGAAGCAAGCCAGTCAGCAGTGTTCCCCCACGGTCTCTGCTTCAGTTCCCGCCTCGGGTTCCTACCTGAGTGCTTGCCTTGACTTTCCTCAGTGATGGACTGGGACATGGACCTGAAAGCCAAAGAAACCCTTCACTCCCTTAGGCTGTTTCTGGTCAGTGTTTTAGCACAGCAGCAGAAAGCAACCTAGAGCACTTGCCTTAAGACTATCAAAACAACAGAATGAGGCATAACCTGATTCCACATCCAAGTTCAGTCATCCTGGGTATCTCTTAACTGATAGTTGCCTCTTTGGGATAGGGTAAAAAACATGAAAACAAACAGCACTGGATGCCTATAATCATATACAGGGAGAAATCAACTGGTGAAGGTAAATGAGTCACTTATCTTCATAATATTGTACGTAGTTCTGTAAGCAGGGAGTAAGTTTTATCATACTCTGTTCATAACAATAAACTTCGGGTTAAAAAAGGAAGTGTGTGTGAGGGAACACAACAAATTTTAAAACACACTACACCGGGCAGAAAGCTCTGACACCTTTCTGAGTTAAGACACTTTTAGTGGTTGAATCATTATTAATGTCACCTGTTAGACAAAAGAGGCATCCAACCACTCAATTTCGTTGAATAGTCCAAACAACTTACATATGGAAGTTTGCAAACTGCCTGATAGATGACTTTGTATTTTCTTTAAATTTTTAAAGCTTCCCACACGGCCCTATGGGTTAACTAGGACCACTCTGGGGACATTGACACAGGGTTTGGGAGTTGGGGCATCAGGCACTTGTCTACCTATTGGGGAGAATCTGTCAATGGTCATATGACACATTTAACTTGACACTTTGTGCTAAGAGATCAAGCAATACTTTCCAACTTTCTATTTTATACTGTGCATAAAAATGGCTTCTTTTAAAAAAATTATCATTTTTATTTTATGTGTACAAGTGTATTGCCCGCATGTAGGTGAGCGTACCCGTGTTGTGCAGTGCTGCAGAGGTCAGAAGATTCCCCTGGGACTGGAGTTAAGGCTGGCTTGTAGTTGCCATGTGGGTGCCAGGAATCAAACCTGGGTCTTCTGCAAAAGCAGTCAGTGCTCTTAACCACTGAGCCATCTCTCCAAAACAACAACAACAACAAAAAGGCTTCTTTTATTGAATTTTGAGTTTCCTGAAGAATGTCTCCCAGTCAAAATTCCCAAACCTTCTGGCTATTACATGATTGGAAATTTTATATGCAAATAGAAAAGAGGAGAGTAGCAAGGGCTACAGCCACCTAAGAACTTAGAACCATGTGTGTGTACCATAGAGTGGATGCATCCAGAACCAGAACAAAAACACCATTTTAAAGTAGAAGACACCAGGGCTGGGGGCCAGAGGGATGACTCAGCAATCAAGAGCACTGGCTGCTCTTCCAGAGGATGTGAGTTTGGGTCCCAGCCACCACGGGGCTGCTAACAACTGTTGGTAATTCCAAATCCACTCCTTCTTCTGGCCTCCGCCAGCTTTGTATAACAGGGGCGTACTTACATGGGTGCAGGTGAAACACTCACACATAAAATGAAAATAAATAAATAAATAAATAAGAAAATAGAGGGAACCAAAGTCAAGAACGAAAAGCAAGCAAGCAAAGGAAAAAACAAAAACCAAGAGAGGATGCCTCAGAGGCACTGGTCTCTATAGTTCTGAATTCTGAGCAATTTTACTTGAATTCCAGAGTTGCCGCTAACTCATCTCAAACATCTTTGATTTTTTTTCACTATGCGATAAGGACTCAAAGACATAGAAATGACTGTTAAAATATCAGATGAGAAAATTCAAAAATATCCAATTCAGGATTAATATCTAATAAAGTTGGTAGAGCTTCTTAAATGCGATGGCACGGTCAGATGCTAGTGGAGCACATGTTATGAGCTGAGCTTTGTTGGAACTCTATAATAACGTTACACACAGATATCTAAACACTAATATTTCACTCACTTTTCCCCGTAGGGTTTAAAGTTTACCAGTGAATGCATTTTAATACATTTGCTTTTCCTGCATTCCTTCTGGATAGAGTACTCCTATGTGGAATGTGAATTACAAATGTTCTTCTAATAGGATACTGTTGGCATTGGTCATTTGAATTTTTAAAGAAGTTTTATGCTATTTCCAAAGCGAACAAGGTGTAATTTAAATATGTGTGAGAGTGAAGAAGCAGGAAGAAAATCAGGAGCATCTAATGCTAGCAAGTCACACGGTTATCTCAATGCAACTCTCTAGTGCAAAAATATCCCCTCGATTGCTTGTAGTGAGCATCGAACAGAATTGTCTGTTGCACTAGATGAAGTATAGCAATGGGTCAGAGAACCAGCCACCCTCCTCAGAAGCATAGAGTCCAAACGAAACAGATTCTGCACGATGCCAAGGAACCAGGGGGAAGGGGACCGGCGTAGGTCAGGCAAACACGTGATGTGGGCTGGAGCAGGTTCAGAAGATCAACGCTGGTGAGAGTCCAGGGTCCAGAAAGTGTGGTTAGATTAAGAACTAAACGAAACACTGAGAGAGAAGCTCAGTGGTTAAAAGCACTGGCTGCTCTTGCAGAGGACCTGGGTCCAGCTCCCTGCACCCACATGGCAGTTAACAACCATCTGTAACTCCAGTTCCGGGGCATCTGATGCCCTCTTCTGACCTCTGTTGGCATTGAACGACACAGGTGCACTTACATACATGCAAGCAATACACTCATACACATAAAATAAAAATCATGTATCTTTAAAAAATAAATAATTTTTAAAACCACTAAGAGATTAAGCTTTGTATTAGTTTCTTTTCTTGCTGTTGTGACAAAATACACAACAAAAGGCAGCCTAATGGAGGAAGGGTTTATTCAGGGTTATGATCTCAAGGGATTCATCCCATCAAGACAGGAGTGTGAGGCTGGGTAGTCAACCATCTCCGTCAATAAGCTCCAGTCAGGCATGGAAGAGCCAATAGAAAACTGAGCTGAGCCGTAAAACCTGAAGCCCCGCCCCTAGTGAGCCATTTCCTCCAGCAAGTCTCCATATCCTAAAGGCTCCATAACCTCCCCAAACAGCAGCATCAGTAGGAGTGGAGGACCACCATCAAACACCGCATGTTCAAACCACAACAGGCTGTTAATGTGTGAAGGAGACAAAAGACAGAAGTTCAGTTCCCTCTACGGAATTTGGGCTTATCCTACTGGGCAATGTCCTATCACGTTTTTGCAAATAATAAGCGAAGCCCCAAATAAATTCATATTTTAACAATAGACTAGAAATAAAAGATACTGAGTCAGAGTGCAGGTGATCTGAAGCAAAGCAGCAGCCTAAGCACTCACAAACAGTGGCACAAATCCTTTCCTACATCGTCTTTGTGCTTTTCTCTTTAAAATACAGTGCTAAGAAAGTGACCCTACTTCTTGGGCAGCAGCAATATTAAACGGCCCAGTTGAAGGCCATGTCCTCCACCTCCTTCTGAATGAACGCTCACGGGCACTTACTGCATCCAGCCTTGTAGCTGAAGCCTGGAGGAAGGAGGAATCCCTGTTGAGCAGCAGCAGCAAGCGTCCTCTGGTCAGGCGGGAACACGGGAATCATTAATAGCGGCAGCTGACCTTGAACCTGCTGAACGTGAGAGAGATAATCAAAGAGACGAAGTGTGGGGACCCTGTGCCTGCCACCCCTCCTTCTTTCATGAAAAATGAGAAAATCATGCTTGGGGCTTCCCCAGTCAGAGTGGATGTCATTAAGAAAACAAGGAATGGGGCTGGAGAGAGAACTCAGCAGTTAAGAGCACTGGCTGCTCTTGCAGAGGACCTGAGTTTGGTTCCCAGCGCCCACATGGGAGCTAACAATCATCCATGACTCCAGTTCCAGGGGATCTGACTCCCTCTTCTGGCCTCTGCAGGCACTGCATACATGTGGTACACTTAAGGAAATGCTGACTGAATGCTCATACACATAATGTAACACTCATATCCATAACAACACTCATATACGTAACATAAAAAATAAAAATAGCTGGGTATGGCTGCACAGGCCTTTAATCCCAGCACTTGGGAGGCATAGGCAGGTGGATCTCTTTGAGATCAAGGCCAGCCTGGTCTACATGGTGAGTTCCAGGCCAGCTAGAGTTACAGGGAGACTCTGTCGCAAAAAAATAAATAAAAATAAAATAAAGTTAATTAATTGAATTAAAAGTTTAAAAAGTAACACTAAGAGAACAAACAACAAATGCTGATAAGGATGAGCATAGAGGGTCGTTTGCACACTGCTAGGGGTAACTTGGTTCAGCCTCTATGGAAATCAGTACAGAGTTTCCTCAAAAGTACTAAAAACAGAGCTGCCATATGACACAACACAAGGATACTTGCACACCCATGTCTATTGAAGCTCTATTCACAATAGCCATGCCCTGGGCTCAAACTCAGTTTCTGCCAATAGATGAATGGATGAAGGGAAACGTGGTAACCATGAAGTTTCATTCAGCCCCAAAGGAGGAGACCATACCCTCTGCAGGGTGGAGTTTATCAGCTTAAATGAAGACAGCCTTACTTAGAACTCACTGATAAGACAAATATTGAATGTTTTCCTTCATTTGTGGATCCTTTTTTTGTTTGATTGTTTGTTGAGAAAGGGTCTCCCTGTAGCCCCAACTGGCCTGGAACACACTGTGTACAGCAGACTGGCCTTGATTTCATAGAGATCTACCTGCTTCTCCCTGGGATTAAAGATGTATACCACCACACCCAGCTTGGACCCTAGGTTTCATACAGATAGATGAAATCATGTATATATTGGGGCTGGAGAGATGGCTCAGCAGTTAAGAGCACTGGCTACTCCTGCAGAGGACCCAGGTTCAGTTCCCAGCACTCATGTGCTGGCTAACAACCATCTGTAACTCCAGTTCCAGGGGATCAAATACTCTCTTCTGACCTCCACAGGCATTGCATGACACAGGTGCACTTACACACATGCAGGCAAAACACTCTTACAAAATAAAATAAAAATAATAAATAATATATGTCAAAAATCATTGATATATTTGTGCATATACATTAATATACAAATACATCTATCTATCCATCTATCCATCATCCATCTATCTATCTATCTATCTATCTATCTATCTATCTATCATCTATCTACCTATCTATCTATCATCTATGAGATACAAAACCAAAAATGAAAGGAAATTAGTGGGGGAGCAAGTGAGTGAGGAAGGGGAGGACATGCGCGGTGCCTATGGTCAAAGCACGTGATGTTCTTGATGGAGAATGTCTTTAGGAAACCCATCACTATGTGCAATGAATATATATATGTTCACAAATAAAAGTAAAAAAATAAAGATTTACTGGCAAATGAACTTGTCCAATGATTTGCTGGAAGCCACACCTGGGGACAACTTCATACAGAACAAAACCAGAATCTCAGTCCTCTGGGAAATAATCAAGTTCAGCCTCTCAGCTGATAAATATTCTCTGGACATGATATCCCTCTATCCCTCCATGAAAATGTCACACCTTTTTCTTACGTCACTAACGAAATGGTTAAAAAATTATTACTTCACAGACTGAACGTTCTTCTCTAAAGTCTACCTGTGAGTGCTAACTCTTCATATGTGTGGGTGGGTGTGTGCACGTGTGCACGTGTGTGAAGTGTGGATGTACATGTGTATAGTTGCACATGCACTTGGATGTGCATGCATACTGACGCCACATGTCAACGTCAGGTGTCTCTCAGTCACTCTCTACCTTATTTTTTGAGATAGGTGTCTCCCTGAGCCCGGAGCATACCGATTCGCTAGACCAGTTGGACAGAGCCCCCCAGCAGCTTCCTGTCTTTCTCCCCAGCACTGAGACTGCTGATGTGCACATGTACTTGGCCTTCTGCAGGTGCTGGGGTCTAAGTTCATATCCTCATGCTTGTTTGTCAAGCACTGTTATGGACCCAGTCATCTCCTTACTCTCTAATTCTATCTGACCAAACAGAAACTAAATCTGTATCACTTTATCTCTGAAGGACTATAATTTGAAGATAAATTTTCATGTTCACACGTAATATTGAAGTCTTAAAATTCATGAATAACAGGCCTCAAAGAAACCCTGAGGAAATCCAACTTTCTCCTTTCTTTATAGATGTAACTGGTGCCAAGGGACAGCTGACTTCCTTGTGGCTATGAACTGGTCAAACTGGGACTTCAATCCAGTTCCTCTGGATTATAAGACTGTCTTTGTGATGCAATCGGACCCATCCTTGAACTATCTGGCCGCTGCTTTAGTTGACATTGTTCAAACTCTACCTTGCTCAAGGCCCCTCTCATGGTCTGGGATCCTCATTAGTAATAAATAAAACATCAGGGGCTGGAGAGATGGCTCAGAGGTTAAGAGCATCAACTGCTCTTGCAGAGGACCTGGGTTCTATTCCCAGCACTCACATGGTAACAACCATCCATAACTCCAATTCCGCATTATCCAATGCCCTCTTCTGATCTCCACGGGCGTCATATAACGTGGGTGCTCTTTCACACATGCAGGCAATACACTCATACACATAAAATAAAATTTAGATACAAATAAAATATTTACAAATAAAAAAATAAAACATCAAATTGTAATGGCTGGGCTTGGGAAATGACTCAGTCAGTAATGTGCTTGCCTTGCAAGCATGAGGACCAGAGTTCAATCCTGAATCTGAGAACCCATATAAAAACTGACAACAGATGGAGATCTTGGCATGCACTTGTAATCTCAGAGCTAGGGAGCAGAGACAGGCAACACACACACACACACACACACACACACACAC